ATGAAAGGACTTGTGTCGCTAAAGTTTCGTCGGAACGAAGTTACGGAAAATTAACTAACGAACGGAGACGTAACAATACCATTTTCTTTCCCTGATTGGAAATAACGATACTATAATTTTTGCTTTGAAGCTTTAAATTCCTCTAAACTTAAATTAAAAGAAAGGATCTGTGGAGACTACAGAAGTTGTAAGCCGAAAGGTCTACCAATTATAAAATTTTCTTCTGAAGTCTCTTGGTCATTATCATACGGATTATTATGTCTTCTTTACCTTAGTTAGCACTGCAAAAATTAAATAATGATGAATATAAGTCGTAATAATATCAAGTGCCTGGCATGGCCAGGTGGTTAGGGTGCTCGATTCGTAATCTGCGGTCGCAGGTTCGAATCCCCGTCACACCAAACATGCTCGTCCTTTCAGCCGTGGGCGTTATAATGTGACGGTCAATCCCACTATTCGTTGGTAAAAGAGTAGCCCAAGAGTTGGCGGTGGATGGCAATTTCGGAACAATTAAAATTGGGTAAGATCTAAAATACTAAAGATCTTCCAAATGTGTTCTTTAAAATGAGTAATAAACCTAACTTCAGAAAGTCTATATCTCTTCTTGTCTCTTTATATCTGTTATATCCCTCCTGTGGCTTAGCGATGAGTGGGTTTATGACACTGAACATCTGGTGGGCAGAGCGCAAATAGCCTATTGTGCGACTCTGCGTATGACAACAAACAAGCAAATTATGGATAACTTAATTAACTGTGAAAGAGAAAGGTGTCAGTAAGAAATTTAATGTAAGCCCATTAAATTCACACGATCCACGAAAAATGAAAAAAATAAATCAACAAAGAACATCAACATCCTTTTATCTTATAACTAAAAGCTATCCGATTAAAGGGTTAGGGCTATCAGCACACATATTTTCATCTGGGTACGATTTTTTCAATTTTCTTATATATAGTTTGATAGTAAAAATTTTTGAAATTCAAAATTGTGTACAGGTGGGGCTTTTTATTAATGTCCGGTCGTTTGAAAAGTAGGGTTAGCGTAAGTATAATAAAATGTTGTCAATATTTTAAAAGTTATGGACTAAATACTCAAACTGCACTAAAACTTTAGTAAAAGGTACAATAACTTGAAAGTTCGCAAGTTATTAATGACGATCTCTATAATAATAGAAAGAAGAGCTACTAGGAAAGTAGGATGATTTCTAGGATGAATAACTTTTCAACTTTAAGTTACATATTTTTGAATAATTTTAGAGGGGTGTTAAAACTTAAAATTTGGCAACATGCTTAAAGTTAAACTGTTAAAGGAAGAATTTATTGATTTGCAACATATTTCTCTAGTTTTATGGTGTCTAGTTGTCCAGTTACCATGCAGGTCATATAATGGAGTAAATCAAAATGGTAATAAAAACTAATAGTAATATAATAAACCTACATATATCATATGTAGGCCGAATAATGGAGTAGGTTTAAAATAGGCCTAGGTCTGTACAGTTCATATATTATAATGGAGTAAATTGAACTAGTAATGTAGTAGGCTTAGATATATACAGGTCAAATAATGGAGAAAATTATTGTTTTATTTCATAATAAACAAGTAGTGTCTAACTAAATGTCCTACTTCTCATTTTCGTAGGTGTCTAGTTGTCCTGGATACATCCACTAGGTGTTTGAGTTATATTTTGAATCACATGTTTAATGGAACCTATTAAAAGTTAAATACTATAGTTTGACTTTGAGTGAAGCAAAGGATCTTGGTATAATTTATTACTGTTAATGGTTAATCAGTCAGTTATTAATTAAACCACTGAATATAATTGAGGCAGTGCTTTGTTACTGGAACTTTTTACTAATACCTGTTGTAAAGTTAAGAGAGTTTCAGGGTGTGTTTATAAACATTGCTTACAAATCAAAAGAGATAATTATGTCTACACAAATCAATAGTTAAGCTTCACTTGGAATTTTATTTTTAGGAGGCATGTAAGTCTTTTAATATTGATATAGAAAGATTATTCTGTTAAATGTGCATGTGTGTAGGGAGGGGGGTTTATAGTTGGGAAAAATCAGTTAACACTCCCAAAAAAAAGAAGTTATCCTCAATGAATCACATGTACCCTGTTTTGTTGTCTATCTCTTACCACACATACTATGTATATTATAATACTTTTAAGTTGAGGAAAGTAATGTTAAAAGACAGCTTATGTGGCCAAGCTTTCCCAAGCCACTTATACCTGTCACCCATTCTGGAATACTGGTTCTATTGGGGTTTTGTACAATTCCTTGCAAGCCCTATTATGAATCAGTATCGTGGTTCATAATTATGTTGTAGACTGGCTTAGTACATCTGGACACATGAAGGGTTGGGAGTTTGTTAAGGCTTGTGGAACCTGCAGGAAATTCCACAGCAGTTGCTTGTAAGGTAATATCACTTAAAGGTGCAGAGAGGTAAGTATCTATATGAAATAAATTTTCAGGTAAGGAATATGTTAACTCTGGGTGAAACAGCAGGTATCATAACTACATTTTGACATTGTTTGGCATTTTATGGGTAGTGATATGCATCCAAAAATTGGTCCCTTTTGATCAGGGTATGAAACAGCCCTTTTTTAACACCAAATATTCTTACATTCAGATCATAAATAAGTGTTCAGATCAGGGATTCAGAATTTTCAACATGGGGATATTTCTTGGACTCATTAATGTTGTAAAAGAAAGGAATGTGGATGAACTTGGATCACTAGGACTATCCAAACAGAGGCTTTCAGTAAGTTATACTCCAGTTGTGATAAGCAAAGTGTGATGACATGCAACAGGTGAGAATCTACAAACACAAAGTTAAGTGGCAAAAACCATCCACATGTGTCCCAGATAACAGTATGCAATGTAATTAAGAATCATCTGAAAATATACATTCACCAAGGTAAGTATACTTCCCATTCAACTGTCACATTCCTCGAGTAGTTGGAAAATGAAATGAATGTTCATGCTATTCCTTGCAAAGACATATCTCTGGATTTAGCTCCAATGAATTTCTGTGCAATAATACTTTTGCAACAGTCACTGGAAGACCACTATCCTTAAACACTACATTGATGATGGAAAGTCAACAGGGAGGAAAGGTGTGCTTTTGACATGACAGTCTTGTGATGGAAATTTTGCCATGGAAGCTATGCTGCATGACTGTTGTTAACACATAAACACATGAAACTTTAATGAGTATCTAAGAATAAATATAAGGATGGATTTAAGTTTGTGAATACCTTGATTAAAGATTAATGAAGAAGTGAACCTTGTGACTGTGTGCTGGATATATATATATTGTAGTTTATTTACAACTAATAGAGCTGGGGAATTAATGGTATTTGCTAATTGATTAATCAAGGTTCATTAATCAATTAGTACATATCTCATTAAATACTGTATTTATAAGTACACAGTTACTCAAATTCTTTGTAACCAACAAAAGGAAATGAATAGTCATAACCTACTTTATAACCAAAGTAAGAACCTGGTAAGTTTTGAATATTCTTCAAGTCAAGCAACATAAGAATTAGCTTAACATCAACTTATTTTGTGAAATGAAACTTTTGATAGTTATAATTTTGTCTTAAAATCTTTGAAAACCATTAGAGAATGAGTAAGAACAAAACTAGAAAGTTACTTTAGATGGTATAGTATTATGGTGGTATCCAGTAAAAACAGTATTTTAACTTTTCCATGCTAGCTGCAGCAATGTTTTGTTTTTAAAATGATGGTAGGATACTAGTTAACTTTTTCAAAGATAGCTGTGTAACACTGTAACCAAATTTTCAGTATTTTGAATTAATCAGTGTTGACCATATTAGTCCTAAAGAACCTGAATAAGTCAGAAGTTAAAATAACGTTACTCTGTAAATGATTACCTTAATCAGGCTATAATCCAGCAATTTCAAAGCTTATATCTTTAGTTCTAGTAATTTAATTTATACTAAAATAAAAACAGTTAAAAAGAAACATTTATAATTATTTATATTTCTAGTTAGAAAAAAAATTGTAACATTGGTAAATAGGAGCCTTTTCCAAATTTTTTAAAAAGAAGTCATTAATCATACAGTTGTATTTGTACCAGCTGCATTTTCACTTATCTTAGGCATTAACAAAATATAAAAAAACATCTTTCTCAAGATAATTCTAATTTCTAAACAATGAGAAATTTATACTGTATCAAGTCTATGTTATAAAAGCTGCAGGTGTCTTAAATAATACTAATTTTGATGAAGACAAATCTTTAAAGTCTAGACACATTTTCAGAATGTCTGTAAAAAGCCAAGGCATGAAAATTTACTGTGGTAATGTTTAATTGTTGCTCATTAGCTTAGAAATAATCAGTTATCGGCTGAAGCCTTGACTGAATTGTTTTAGACTCCAGCTGTGTTAATAGCCCAATCAAATAAAAAAACTGATGTTTAATGTTTCGTTTTGATACTATGATGTAGTATAAGGATGTCTGGCTGTTTTTTTTTTATTGACTCCTGAAAAATTGAAGGGGGAGATTTGGACTTTTTAGATCTGTGCCTACCTATGAAACATATAAGTAATACACTCATTAATTTATGAAATAATAAATAGGTGGAGGGGATTTGGCCATCATTGACAGTTTCTCTGAATCTGTGTTTGCTTATAGAATATTAAATAATATTGTTATTAATTTCTGAAAAAAAGTGGATGAAGGAGATTTGGTTCAGGGACTCCTCTACTAAAGAATACAGTTACACAATTAAAAATTAGAAAATATAATGTAACTTAAAAAAAAAATACACTTTGTTTAACTTAAGGAACCAGAGAGTTGGCAGTTAGTGCTACCAGACAGTTACCTTCCCTCTAATCAGCAGACCAAAGTTAATGAAAGTGGTTACTTTAGTAACTTTGCAATAACAAGGACAGGATGAACAAGTTTAGTGGCAATGAGAATTAAACCTCAAATAATGAGGACCCCACCTATTATGTATCTTTTTACTTAACAACAAGCAAACATAATCACAATATTGTAATCATTTGAATGAATGGTTGGAAAAATCAGAAATCTTAATTTTGATTAGTGGATTGTTTTCCTGATAATCAATTTAATCATACTTTTAGTCAATTGATTGTTGGAGTAATTGGAAAAGTAATAATTGGTTATTGTTATGACAATCAATGTAATCATAATTTCACTTAATGGATTGAATTGCCCAACTCTAGCAACTATTGTCAACAATTTATTACATTGGTTAAATAAGTACTCCAGGTGCTTATATGTATAGAATCAAGTTAAATGTATGCAATAATGTTAATTTTGTATAATTCCTGTTATACAAAAATATAGGCATCATCTTAAAAGCTATAAACTAATGAGTTTTTGAAGTTACAAAATTGGAAGTATATATTTAATATTGTTTTGATACAGTGATTGACTTTCTGTTTGTCAAGTTGTTTGTTTTAAATTTTTTATATTACAAAGAAACCCATACTACATTTTGATGTTATGTTTTTTATACGTACACTTTCAACTTAATAGTAAAATACATTATAGATAGGAAATGTTTCTTGAATTTTGATATTTGTTATCAAGCATAGGCATTGTGAAATTAGATTTATTCAATAATTTAAAATAAAAAAGAAATGTAATAATTAACCATTAACTTTTCTTATATATGCTGTAGGAAAAATAAAAAAGTGACAAATATGAGCAGAAAACAAACACCAAGTGAGTTTCTAAAGCAAATTATTGGAAGACCAGTTGTTGTTAAACTGAATTCTGGAGTTGATTATCGAGGTAAGTGTTGATGTAGATATATATTTAATCTTCCTGAATATTTTCATATGTGATATTCTCTAATTCATTCATAAGAGTAATATATATAAAAATTATTTGTGATTTTTAGAAAAGCTGTTAGTTACTTTTTTGATGGCTAAAATTTGCTTTGTTTTTGCGAGTTACTGTAATTTTAATATTGAAAAAAAAAACTTTAATAATAGACTGATCTTGTAATTCAGTATAAATTATATCTTGTAGTGATATTCAAAGCAGGATTAAGGATCTTTGAGGCCTGGAGCTGAAGACTTTCTGTGGGCCTACTCACACTTGTTCATAATACAAGTGAATAAAGTGGCCATTCAGGCTTTAAATCTACCAAACTATCATCAAATTAATATTCTTTCATGAAATGGCAATAATTATTAACGATAAAGTTTGTTTGTAGTTAAGCATGAAGCTACCCAATAGGCTCTCTATGCTCTGCTCACCAACGGTATCGAAACCCGGTTTTTAGCATTGTAAGTCTGCAGACATACCGCTGTGCCACTGGAGGGCTATTAATGACAACTAATCTGATAAGTTTTTACAGAAGACAAATTAGAAATCAATTTCAAGTTTTCATCACAGTCAGGCACGAATATGGAATTTTTTGAAGGGCTCACATATAAGAACAGTAATATATTTGTGATTTTAAAATCTGAAACACATGCAGGAGTGTTTCAGAGGAAATTTGTTGGTTTGATCAATATTCAATGTTGAAAAATATAGGTTTTCGTAATATACTTGTTTTAAAGTTCATCTTATTATCCTACTAAATGCTTTAATTTTTTTAGGGTTGTGCTTTGTGATTTTTAGATATAAGATGCTGATAAATCTTTGAAGTAACCTAATTCTTATACATTAGGGCAATTTGATGTGTGCATTTGGATAATTTTGAAACAATTTTCATTAGTATTTTGATATCAAGACACACTGTAGTGTGTTGTGCAGTCGTAAAAACTTGCAATATTAACTGTGTGTTACTAACAGAAGCGACAGTTTAGCAATTTTCCAATTTCTGTATCACAGACTGTGGTAATCCAAACCATCACATATTTTCAGTGAATGTGTTCTACTGGACCCTTACTTCACATACCAAATTTCCAGCCAATTTTATAAGAGATACAAGAGATATAAAACTTCCACATTTGTTTGAAGTTCTTCCTTTTTGTTTTCTTGCATCAAAAGTACCAAAAATGTATTTGATAGAAAAACGTACTTAACTTTTATGGATTTTTTTTCACTGATATATCTTTACAACCTATGATTAGGTGTTAAATTTGGTCTAAATATAAGCCACATGTGCAAAGTTATTCAACAAAAGCTGCTCAATTTTGAAAAAGATGTTTGCACACACGTACGCAAAAAGTCACATGAGCTATCGGTGTAAAATATTTATCACAGCTTCACCTAAGAGTAAAAGTTGACAGTTTTAAATTTTTTGTCATTTTGATTAAAGATGGTTGATTTAGAGCAGCAAAACTATAGAGTGAAAGAACATGCAGATACATAAGTATTGGTTAGGCCAAACAAACTAGATTAGCAGTTTCTAGCACACGTTTACAAAAATATTCATGCGGGTGGACGGTTATTATTCATTGCCAATTTTTAAGCACAAATTAGCTGAATTTTGTGAAGTTCTTCTAATTAAAGAGCGTTTAGCATCACGTGATATTAGTTTAAGCAATTAGTATAAATAATGATGCTAGATACAGCTTTACTGAGTGCATACGGGTGATGTCAAGAAACTGTTAATCTAGTTTTCATTGTGTTACTATAAAAGAGGTTATTAACACTGTTGTAGAGAGGAAAAACTACAACCATATATTTTAAAGATTCTGGTTGGTTCTGTAAAGTATAGATCTGTTCCAAATAATGTGGGTTACTATCGAGTGTCAGATTTTCTTACTTGCTGTGGTTTGTTGGTGTATTGACAAAAGGTCATGATATCTAATCAAAAACACCTTAGGTGTGAAAAAAAAGAAAAGGTGCGACCAAAAATGAATTAAGTGTGCAACTTAAAGGAGTGAAATAAAAATTGGTGGCAAAACTGGTAAGCTACAATTATGGCATTGAAAATAATTTTACAACAAATATTCATTCATTAATTAGCTTGTTTTACCCATCATCATGCCCTAAGTTGAACAAAAAATGTGGCCTAAATATTTGCTATAAAAATTATCATCAATGCTATAAGTGTAGCTACTATTTTGTCTGCCAGTTTTGATTTCATTTCTTTAAGTTGCATTCTGAATCCTTTTTTTTTTTGCTTCACCTTTTTTTTCTCACACCTAAGATGTTTTTGATTAGGTTTATCATATACATATTGCACATACACATGAGTGCATATAACAACTTTAGGAAATGCATATTTTTTGAATGAAAATAGTTTGCATAGATATACCATATTTTATTTATATGAGATGTATATTTCGTTTCATAAAATATCACACAATTTGGCCAAAAATGATGATAATTCATGCTCTGGTCTGAATAAATAAAGTAAAACAGTTCAACATAGACTTTCAAACAATAAAATATTTTACAGCATTTTCCATTAAATGAGATAGTGATCTTAATATGAACAATTGAGTCAAGCATCTTCAAAATCATTTTGGTAAAATTATGTTAAAAGCAAAGTATTTTACATGTGTGTTATTAACTATATGTATACAGGCTCAGTCATTTTTACCTACATTGTAACCACCTCAAAAAATATGAAACAAATTTAATTACCCCTTTTTGTTTCTAGAATGGCTGCAGATTATAACAGAAAATTACAATTACTTATAATAATGTGGCCTTAGAAATTTTTTTATCAATTATTCAATTTAGATTGTTAAATATTTCCACATACACATAAAATAGATTGCCCTAAAACTTACAAATGAACGAATAAGTAACATAGAAATGGCTTTAAATTATTTCCATGCTTGGTCAAACAGAGCTCCAACAGCGAGAATGAAGGAAATGGCACTCAGATGTCCAAATTATTATTCCACTGTCACAGATCTTTAGACCCTATAGTTGTCAGTTTCGTGAAATCTCTGCAACTAATACAATAGGGAATGTCAGAGAGAATTTATGACAGGTTTTGAAAGCAGGATGTTCAGTAGAAGACATGGCATTTGACCAGTACTTTATGTCTGATATTTCCATAAAGCAAAAGTTCTATCGGTGGCAAATTCTAGCTATAAATTGAGAGTTTAGCTTGAGGATATATATATAATGTAAGTGTGAAATTCCACAGACAGAAAATGTTGAAGTAAATAGTTTAGACTGAAGAAATGTCATGTGATATACAGTAAAAATACGAAATTGATAGTTTTATGTTATTAAAATTTGATCTATAAATTAGTTTAATTAAATTTTGAATGTAACTGTAAAAGACCGTGACATACACACTTTTACCTATTTATAGCGATTAATAGCGGTTAAGGGATCATCTGAAATTTTGTATATGTCTCAGTAATGTTTTTCCTGTACTAAATCTAGGCCTATTACAAATGGTTAGGGCCACATGTGTTTTCATATTTTTTTTAAAGTGCTGAACCCATTGTTGATGCGGGAATGCATATTATTTTTATTTTGTTTTGTTTTGTTTTTTAGCAAGGTGGGCCTAGAGCTGGTGCTCCACCAGCCTCACCTTAATCTGGCCCTGATTATAATCAATTCTTGTATAAGAAACTCACTTTTGTGAGAAGCTTATAAGTCTCAAAATAGCTGATACTTTGATTCAGTTATTTGGTAGTCTTGACAGTAAAAGATAAATTTAGATTGACACTGTCCTTTTCTCAATTCCTTGGTTAATTCAATTATCCAGAGTTACTTGCTTTTTTTTTTGTTTAATTTCTCTAGTATTTTTTCAGTGACCCCTTAGCATCGAAGGAAATATATATATTATTGACCACTTCGGAAATTTATTTGATGTTTTAGGACGTGTTATTAACTTTAAGTTGATGTAGGTCATTAGAGAAGTAGGAGGTAAAGTAAGGTCCAGACTTTGGGTCAGAGTTTGTAGGTATGTGGAGTTTATGTCCATAAAAATAAAAAAACTTGTATATTGTTCCCTTGACTCTCATGTGATTACTTTTATATATTTTTGTAAAGATCATAGTTATACATATGACTAAATATGTTTAGATTGTGTTTTTTAATGGAAAACACATTGTAATAAGAATATATGTGTCCATTGATTAGAAAAACTAAGTAATGGGACACACTTTCATCATAGTAATAGCCAGAATTGATTTTGAGAAATTATTGTTAATCGAAAACAGTCTTTAAAAAGTTGTAATACTGTGATATACAACTAGGCAATTAGCAGAATTGCTAATCAGCTTAATTATCTGGCTCATTAATGAATTTCATTCAACTATTTGATTATTTTCACATATAACTAGTCTTTTTATTTTTAACTTGCTTTTTTTTTTTTCAAAGACATTTGAACTACCCATTGTTTAATGTGATAAACATTTTCAGGCAAAACAATTGTGAAACAGTACTACCTCCTCTCCCCCATAGGTGTCTCAACCTCCATTTGCCCTCTAGGCATTATGAACAATGCACCAGTCTTTTATACCCCTATGGTGATTATGTGACCAACCTCCACCAATCCCATTGTGCCCTCTATACTAGCACAGGTAGCTCCCTCTACTACTGCAGCACAATCCTCACTTTCTTTATTGGCACTACAATGTTCAGACGTGTGTTTTCAGTTGTTTTTCAAGTGAAGTTTACTATGTTTTGTGTGTTTTCTTGCTAGATTTTACTTATAGTTGGAATTACTTGTTCATTTAGTAGTTCTTTTACTATTATTTTTTTCAAAAGTCCACGTGGACTTAGGTTCGAATTTTCATGTGTCAGATGAGGAAGTTCCCGCCAATATGGAGAAAACTTAGGTCACTAGTTTCCAGAGGAGCAGGAAAAGAAACCGGGAAAGTGGACACAGAAGGAAGGGACCAGAATTGAATGCATAGACCCTCTGACAGAACCCATAACACCCATGGATCCGTCGTGAAGGGTTTCCATATGGAGGAAAAAACATCCCATCACTGATAACGTTGAGGCAGAGAGGAATGGGAGTAAGAAAGGGAATGTCAGGAGTAGGGAAAAGGGCAGGACAAAAAATTTGAGAGCATGGGGCATTCAAACAGGCAAATATTGAACAGAATCGGTAGGGCAAGATAAATGAGAAACACGGGAGGACAAAGAAGAATACAAACTCATCACATTAATCCTGAACTCCAAAGACCATTTTGCACAGAAATGGAGCCTGACAAACTCCTGTAATGAAAAAAGGGGGAAAATGCACCCTTGCAAGTAACGAATCCCTCCCAAATAAATCCAAACAATACAAAATTCAAGTGGTAAGAAACAAGGCAGAAGCCAACAACCAGGCCATAGTAGACTACAAAAGGGTCCAGAGATTGGCCAAAAAACTGATCAGGAGACTGATGGAAGGTTTGAGACAACAACTGTAAAGAGGAAAAACACGTAAAAGATTGGTCAATGTAACACAAATCATAGTAAACTGGGACCTGTTAAAATGAACCAAGGCATAAGGATTAGAACCTCACAAGGGAAGGAGAGGATATAAACACTGAGAATTCAAATACAGGTTATGTAACTGGCTGGAAAAACCCAAGTGGAAATTGTCCTCCCCCTGACAAAAAACTTCCTCAGAAGCATGGTCCTGGGGGAAGGGAGAAGAAGAAGCAAAAGCATACAACTCCCGCCAAATTAATGCCTGAATCTCCTCAGTTGATATTGGCAACTCACCACGCTGGGTTGTCTTGTCCAGCTGTCTAGCAGAGTCAGTTCTCGATCTTCTTCATAAGGGTGCTGTAGAACATGTGGTGCCTGTTCGTCCGGGTTTTTACTCCCATCTGTTTGTTGTCCCCAAAATGACGAGATATTGGAGATCTATCCTGGCTCTATGCCTTTTTGGACACACCCCTATTCACAATGGATTCATCCTATCTTTCTCTTTGATGGGTTTTTTCCCTCGGGTCTTTGGAATACCGAATTCCAAAGGACAAATGCTTACTTTCATATCCCCATTGCTCAAGAGTCATGTTGTTATCTTTGGTTCATCCATGGGGAGGATGTGTACCAGTTCTGTGGACTTCCATTTGGTCTTGCCTTGGCTCCTTATGTGTTCTGTCGGGTTGTCCTTGCCTGTGCATGTCATCTTCATTTGTTGGGTCTTCAGACATATCATTATATGGAAGACTGGCTCCTGCTTGCCTCTTCCCAAGCCCAATATGCCACAATTGCACCTGCTTTCTTCTTTGTGAATCTGCTTGGGTAGAGTTTCTCATCAAGGTAGAGAAGTTCTTTCTCACTCCCACTCAATGCCTAATTCATTTGGGGGTCCTCTTCTCAGTCAGGCCCTGCCTACTCTACTTCAGCTCCTGGATATGGAACGATCAGTCACTCGGGCTCTTACTTCACTTTCTCTTCCTGCTAGAGAGGTTCTCTCTCTCTTTAGGGGATATGGCTCTCCCTGGAAGCTCTCATTCCCTTGGATCAAGCACACATGCATTCCATTCAGTGGATGCTTCTCGACCAGTGAAACTTATCCAGCAATCCTTGGATCATCCTATTACCCTTCCCCCAGGGATCAAGGCTCGACAGGGCTCTTACAATGGGAGGGGTCCTATTTGCCTCGTCCTGACTTGCATCTGTTCACAGATGCTTCTTTGGTGGGTTGGGGGAGGGTCTTCCCTCAACTTTCAAGAGATTTTGGGTTGGTGGTCCATCGAGGAATCTACTTACCATATCAACAACTTGGAGCTGTTGGCTATTCGTCGGGCTCTCACTCATTTCCTCCCACTC